ACTGATCCTCTCAATGCAAATAACCAAATACTTTACTAATGTTATGAGATGCTTTTAAAAACTGTTTTTAAACTGTTAAGCCCATTAACTGCCAGTTACTGGTGAAATTTGTGTGCCATTTTTCAATAAATAGGATGTAATGTGTTGGCATGTAAAGTGAATATGTATATAGCAGTTCCATAAGCAGCTCACACAAACTACCTAACCCTGTTACTGTCATATGTGGAATATCAACTATGATCACTCACTGTTGAAGTCCAACTCACAGTAGGGTTGGAGAAAATATTAAGACTTTGATTTTTCCTCTCTGACATTAATTTATACTGGTAGAGCTGTCACTGTTTAACCAGGGAATGCAGAATCTGGACTTTTCAATCAAAACTGTATTGGCTAAATTAAAATAGAAAACAAAAATCTTGAATAGCTACAGTACAGCTTAAACCTTTGTTGCAGTGGTTTGCTACATGTATGATTTAAATGGCATGCAATCACTGGTGGATGCCAGGCAAGCTCACATGAATGCACAATGGCCTGGATTTCGTGCCCATTCAAGGAAATCCTTAAACTATCACATATTTATTTTGTTAGAAAAAAAAGTCCTGTGAGCGAGAGTTTGCAAGCTGTATATAAAGCCATTTACTTCTGCATAGAAATACTAGAACATACGTACACGTCATTTTTTCATCTTTAGGTCATGTCTAAGATAACTTACTGCTGCAACACTGTAATTAAAAAACAAAGAAAAGCATGCCATGGGCCCTTTAACTGCTGATTTGCTACTTACCACTAATGCAGTGAGTTTGGTGCCACTGGGCTCCAGGGCCTGTAGTGGTGTAGGAAGTAGATGTTATCTGAGCTGGTTCAAAGGAGGTAGAGAATGATGATGGCGTTAAAGGGAAACAAACAAGCAGGTCCCAGTGGTCCAACACTGAGGGGAGCTCATTGGACAGAAAGACACTGAAGAAAGGTACAGGGGATAGGAGAGCAGGTTAATGAAATGGACCTACAATGAAAGATCCACATTTAATTTTTACAGTCACATGTAGTGGTCATTTATTGAATGTACACGCCTTTAAAATGACAATAAGCACAGTAAATAAATAGTCCTGATAAATGCCATTAGATATTCTGGTGAGAAGAGGACAAATTTTCTTTAGCTTTTAGTCTGAAAGAAGCCGACTGACATTAGCAAGAGTCTTGTTTCCCTTGAGAGCAGGAGCTTATATATATATATATAAACAGTGACTCACTACTGCAGTCATCCAGAAATAATTTTTGTAAAGAGATGTTGGATGCTCACCATGACTATTGTGCTAACGTGACTATTGTGTGAACAATGTTTTGTTTGATACCGGTGTTAAGGACATTTAAGCTGATCCTCATATCTTAAATAGACTTTCTGAAGGTTAACACATTATGTTCTGATGGTTAAGGTTAGGGTAAGGGACTAGTGATTGTACAGTATTCACACAAATATAGAAAGACAAGTGTGTGTATGACTATGTGTCTCACCATGTACAGTAGCTGGTATGACTATGTGTCTCACCATGTACAGCAATCACCCAAGGCAGGCAGGCAGCAGAAGTCACCAGTACCATCAGCTAGTGAGACTAACATGCCATTACATCCATGAAGACCTCCCGACCACTCAGTACTACACACAAACACGTGTCACAGCTATGTCTAATACTTTGAAGACAATAAGATCATGACCAAAGCAGCCTTTTTATGGGCCTTCATGAAACAAACTGCTCAGTTTTAATGAGCAGAGGCCCCTGGGTGACACTACATTTAATCAACATGTCAAAACATTAGGACCCAAGTTTACTTAAAATTATTTTTTATACCTTAACACAAAGTTGCATATTAGCATATCATGTATGAAATAAATACTGGGACAGGAACTAAAATAAGAATTGCAAGAATGTGGGTGTTGGTGAGTGCAGGGTCAGCAGTCATGGAAGTTGCTTTCATTTTAAGTCGAACACTCAATCAACTTTAGTGGTATGGATCGACTAAGTTATGGGCTTGTATTACAGGGTTGGCTTCAGTGCAACACAAAGGCTTTTGATGAGGGATCACTAGTTTAAATAGGACATTTTGCTGCCATGTGCTTTATAAAAATACCATTATATTTGTACATACCAATGTGTGCATTTTTCAACTTGTATGATCTTGATGTGTAGTTCATATCCTTCCACCTGTCTTGCCCCATTATAACAGCAGTAATGCAGAGGCCAGTACACCCAGAGTTCCCAACAGGGGGAAGCCCAGTCAGAATGAAAGCACTGCTCAGCGGGTTGTTGGCTTAAAAACAAAACAAACAAAAAAAAACACCCGACTACGTACCCCACACTCAGGCCCCACAGCACCAGGAGAGGAGGAGACAAACAGGCACATTTTCCTTGACAGCAGTTCCCCCTGAAACCTTTGGGATTAATATTTACAGCTTTGTTTTTTCACAGATATTTAAAAAGTGGAATTGTAGAGAAAACATTTTCGCAATTGGACTTATTGATGCCAATTCAGTCTTTTAAGACAAGGCTCAAGATGGACATTTAATGATGGTAATATTTTATGTCGGAGGAAGAGTGCAACTGCATTCACCACAGGAGCTGTGATGATTACATTTGCATATTCTAATGGAAATGCCAGTATCTGAGAACTTTGTCTTTTCAAAAAGTTTTGTCATTAATCTTAATATCTGGGGACTAAGACGATGAATTATGCATTTTCCGAACACCTCTTGTAAAGGTCATGGCATACATTACATTTCACAGTTGACTTAAAGAGCAGAAGTAAGCAAATGTTCCAAGACGCAGCAGAGTAGGATGACAGTTTTCTCACCTTGCATGTACTTATCCAAGTGTTCCACTTCTCCAGTACAC